AAAGAACCTAGCAGGAGGTTAGCTGCTCAAACTGACTGGTCTATACACTGATCTTCTAAATGCATTTGAACGCCTCACTGGTAAAGTGTTTCTTGCCAGAGTATGTAGGTGGGGGGGGGGGTAAAGGCAGGTGGGTAAAGCAGCCTGTCGCCAAGCCTAGTGACCCGAGCGCAAGCCCAGGTCCCACATAACCGTGGAAGGAGAGAATCAACTCCCACGAGCTGTCCTCTGGCCTCCACCAGCTTGTGGTTGTAAGCCAAGGCACAGTGAAATCACCAAACTAGACCACCCCATGGGTGGCAAGAAAGAGATCCAATTGCCAAGGCTACCCCCATCCAGGAGTAGGAAGAAGGATCAAAATGATGTCACTCAGCAGGGTGGGGTCTTTGAGGTGACACGGGCTGTTTGGTTTCACCCAGAACTAGATGCCCTTGCCCAAGATGGTTGACCTTTGGGGTGATTAGAGGGGTCTCCTGGTGGTCTAAGGTGTGGGGGTGGCTCCTGGTAAACAGAAACCCGCCATCAGCTAGCTCACAACCTCCTGGAAGTCCAGCTCTAGAGGACCTGGCCTTTCTTCTTGGCTTCATGTCTCTCTCAGTCCCCCTCCCATGCACACCGCCCCCCTTGCATGGAAGGAAGGGTGAAGAGTTGGTGGATGAGGAAAAGTAGGAAAAACATGTCTGTGGTAGGTGGACACAAGAGTGTGGTCAAATACAGAATTCCTGACTAGCTGATCTGGGCTGTGTGTGTGTAGACAAGGAATTAGGGAGTGGGGGGTCTGGGGTGGTTTGTAGAGATCACCAATGTGAAGGAACCACAAATCCCAACAAGTCACGGAATTGCATGGGACAAGAAACTTAGAGGATAAAGTGCATCTATCAAAATCCAATAAATTCTGGGAAGGGCCGAAAACAAGTCAGTCATTGATGATGGGAGAAAGGGCACAGATGACAATCACAGGGTGTGCAGAGGCGTGGCTGGTGGGCCTGGGTCTATCTGTTTACCCAATACCGATCCTTCTGTTTAGCACATTGTCATCAGCATTTTGGGACAGCACTGACACTTTGGACCTAACAGTGTCGCCGTGCTGAACACACACCAGCATACATCACACATAAACAGGTTTGGTGTCACAGGCCTGTCACCCCAGAACTAAGGAGGCAGAAGTCAGTCTGAACTGCAGAGTGACACTCTATCTCAAAACCTAAGAGCTGGGGACAAATGGAGTTCAGTGGCCCTTGAGCAAGGTCTTGGGTTTGGGGGAAAAAAAAAAGATTAAAAATAAACCTTTCTGAGAAAAAATGAAGCCAGCCTCTTCAGCCAAGGCAACCCACTTCTGGGGACAAGGGGTCTTCTTTCCAGCAAGCCAGCTGGCTATTGTCATGGGCCTGTGTCTACACTGTTTTCCCATAGCATGGATCACTAACCTACTGACTAAATAATTACCCATGAGGACTGTGACTATCATGGCTGATGTACCTTATGGAGTGAAAAGGTTCATTCACTAATTAACCATGTCTTTCTTTTCCACATTTACAGAGAGTGTTTGGGGGTTTGTAAGAGATGATTTTCTTTCTTTCCTTTTTTTTTTTTTTTTTGGTTTTTCGAGACAGGGTTTCTCTGTGGGTTTGGTGGCTGTCCTGGAACTAACTCTTGTAGACCAGGCTGGTCTCGAACTCACAGAGATCTCCCTGCCTCTGCCTCCCGAGTGCTGGGATTAAAGGCGTGTGCCACCACCGCCCAGTTCCTTTCCTTCTTTCTTTAAAGATAGGGTCTTACTATACAGCCCTGGCTGGTCTGGGGCTCACTCTGTAAAACAGGCTGGCCTGGAACTCACAAAGATCTGCCTGCCTCTGCCTCTGGCGCATGGAGATTTGTTTTTCTGGTTTTGCCCACTCTGAAGGTTGAACCCAGGGCCATTTCCATGGTTCTAAAGCGCTCTACCTCTGATCTGTATCTCTAGGACTTTTTAGTCTCAGACGGGCCCGCACTAAATTGTCCAGGCAGGCCTAGCATGTAAGATTGTCTTGCCTCAGCCCCCAAGTAGCCGGGATCCACACCAGGCTCAGGTAAGAATTTGTAATTAGCCAGGCGTTGGCGGTGCACGCCTTTAATCCCAGCACTCGGGAGGCAGAGGCGGTGAGTTTGAGGCCAGCCTGGTCTCCAGAGCCAGTGCCAAGATAGGCTCCAAAGCTACACAGAGAAACCCTGTCTCGAAAAACCAAAACAAAAACAAAAACAATTTGTAATTAGTCTCCCAACACTCACTCGAGGCTGCTTATTGTGTCTACGTATTTTGTTGGTCATGTGTCTTCCTCTATGAAACAAGGTCATTGTGCACAGGAACCCAGCCCCGGTTCTATTTGTGGACTCACACCTTTGCACTGGATAGAGCTGATACACTGGTTAAAATAAATGATTCTATAAACAGGGTGTGGTCACCGTAATCTCAGTACTCCAGAGGTGGAGCTTCAGAGTCCAGACATAATAAATGCAGGCAAAAACGCCCATACAAACAAACACTGAAAATCAGTTTTTAAAGAGCCGGGCATCGTGGTGCGTGCCTTTAGTCCCAGCACTCCCGAAGCAGAGGCAGACAGGGCTCTGTGAGTTTGCCAACACGGTGAGTTCCAGGCCGGCCAGGCCTACGAAGTGAGACCCTGTCCCAAAGCAAAAAAAAAGAGAAAAATCTGGATCTAGACCTACCTGCACCTACTAGTCCTTCAGTCAGTCCCTTGGTGAGGTCACTTGGCCTCCGTTTTCTACCCTGGGATGTGGGGGCTGGGATGGGCTAGCTCGGCAAAGCGAAACAGCCAACTTGAGCTGATGCTTTCCTCTAGAGCCTGTCTTTCCCTGTAAATCACGGATGATTAAGTCTGGCATTAAAGGTGACTGGTTCAAGGCATTTAGGGGTGGAGCCGGATGCCTCGCCAAAGTAACAGCTGTGGCCAGATGCCCGGCGTCTCCTGCGGATTTAGGGTCTTCCTT